TGGAGTTTGCATTTCTTGGTGGAAGCCCAGTGTGGTCAGCACCTGTATGGGCACAGGTAGGACATGGCTCCTGGACGTGTTGCGTTCCAATAATGGCTGCAGCTCCGCGCACAGTTCTAAGTGAATTGCCCTGGGAATGGAAAGCGGCTGATGATCCAGTCGTCGTCCTGAGGTCTCAGGAAACCTGTTCTCTTGGCACTGCTCCATTGGCAATATCCTCCAACAGTGCCAAAGCTGCCATTGTTGTTAACAGTATCTTCTGCACCATTTTCCGTAAACTTTTCTATCCACTCATCTGATTGCAAACACCTGGGTATGTTAAGTGTTCATCTAAGTGTCTCTGATGTGCATATCACTTTGAGGAATTACCTTTTTTTTTTTTTTACATTGTTTTATACATTTTTATATTCCCAGCATCACCTCTAAGTGTCGCCAACGGCTCAAAAGCAATAGAAACATGCATCGGCCAGTCAAGAAGTTGGCGTGGAGGACCGCACATTTCCACATTCATTTCACTCTTGATACATCTGAACGTGAGCGTGGATAAGTGCGTATGCCAAGTTTTTGTGCGTAAGCACGCTTTGTACATGAGGCCCCTGGCATTTTAAAAACATTCTATGCATACATTCTATGTTCTAATGAATTGCATTTTGCACATTTTTTAACTTTAATGTTTTTAGAATTCTGACACACACTGTGATGCCTTCACTGTTCCTCTGACACCTGATATGAAATAAAAGTATTTTTAAAAATCAAAAATCTCTCTCTCTCTCTCTCTCTCTCTCTCTCTCTCTCTCTCTCTNCGTCAGCAGGAGAAACCGAGTACAAAATAAAGAAGGGCAGGACTTCAAAGAAGTGTGGCGAGTCAACGTCAAATCCAGACTCTGGCTTGAATACCGTTTTTTTTTAAAGAAACAAATGATCTTGCGTGGATTTCATACTGAAACCTGGCGTACACTTCAATCCTGAAAACTGCGTACGTACAAAAAAATCCAGATGAACGAAAGTGAGCGTACGCTGGAATCCAAGCACATTTCCTTTGTACATCTCACTCAGTGGGCTGCAGGGTGGCGCAGTTGGTAGCACTGTTGCCTCGCAGCAAGAAGGTTGCCGGTTCGCATCCCGGTGGGGGCACCGGAATTTTTCTGCGTGGAGTTTGCATGTTCTCGGTGGAAGCCCAGTGTGGTCAGCACCTGTATGGGCACAGGTAGGACATGGCTCCTGGACGTGTTGCGCTCCAATAATGGCCGCAGCTCCGCGCACAGTTCTAAGTGAATTGCCCTCGGGAACGTAAAGCGGCTGATGATCCAGTCGTCGTCCTGAGGTCTCAGGAAACCCGTTCTCTTGGCACTGCTCCATTGGCAATATCCTCCAACAGGTCCAAAGCTGCCGCTGTTGTTAACGGTGTCTTCTGCACCATTTTACGTAAACTTTTATATCCACTCATCTGATTGCAAACACCTAGGTGTGTTAAGTGTTCATCTTAGTGTCTCTGATGTGCATATCACTTCGAGGAATTACCTTTTTTTTTTTTTTTACATTGTTTTATACATTTTTATAGTCCCAGCATCACCTCTAAGTGTCGCCAATGGCTCAAAAGCAATAGAAACATGCATAGGCCAGTCAAGAAGTTGACGTGGAGGACCGCACATTTCCACGTTCATTTCACTCTTGATACATCTGAACGTGAGCGTGGATAAGTGGTACGCCAAGTTTTGTGCGTAAGCACGCTTTGTACATGAGGCCCCTGGCATTTTAAAAACATTCTATGCTGTATAAAAAGACAATGTACACACACACACTCACATATATATTTATTCTTGTGTGTTTTATTAGGGTCCATGCAGTAACAGTGCAAGAACCCTATTGTAACCCTTGGGTTTACTATTATTATTACTTCTCCCACAAAATGAAACTCAAATTAGAGGGTCTAAACATAAACAAAAAGTCACCAAAATCACCACACACACCAGAACTGATGAAAAATTTGAAATTTTAAGGGACTTGGACATGTTACTGCCAAAATGGCTCCACAGTGCCACCTTGAAAATTGCAACGGACTCCTGTCTTTAATTCTTTATTTTTATTCATCTTAATATTATTTCAGTGTGGAACAGGTGCGCAAAGCATTTCACTGCACGTTATACCGTGTATAACTGTGTTTGTGACCAATAAAGGCCTTGAGTCCTTGAATCCTATCTGTCTGTGATAAAATATAGCGGTGTAAGGACCTTGTGGTGTATTTTTCAACTAGTTTTATTCAGCTACTAGGTCTTTAGCACAAAAACAAGAACTGAATCCCTGGATTTTCCTCCATAATGTTGCTGCTATTGCTGGTGTTGCACAGCATTTTTAGTAACGACATCACGATATGGAGTTAGGTTTTAAATTCATGCATAAATACAAAAATGTGGTGTTATAGCATGTACATCTACATCAACAAAATTTAAGATCTGTAATGAAAAAAAAAAAAAAAAAAAAAAAGATCTGTAATGACTCGCATGTCACCTTGACTGTCCTTGCAGGCTTATATACGTATAATTACTCAACATGACATAATGTCGCCAATAAGAAGTGGATCGCTTGATTTTTCCTCCATGTTGTCTTTTAAGGTCCTTTTCTGTTTAATTAGGTTGCTTCAATGACATTTCAGTGGCAGTATTCCAGTATGTAGTTAGGTTGTGTTACAGTTACAGTATGCTGCTGTGGAAATTAATGGCAATCTTTCTCTAAGAGGAAATAAGAGAGAGAGACGGATACACCAGTCTGCTGCCTATAAGCAGTTATAATAAATGGACTGCACTTGTATAGCGCTTTTCTACCTTAGCGGCACTCAAAGCGCTTTACAATGTTTTCTCATTCACCCATTCAGACACACATTCACACACCTATGGCGACAGAGCTGCCATGCAATGCGCTAGCCTGCCATTGGGAGCAACTTTGGGTTCAGTGTCTTGCCCAATACAAGGACACTTCGACTGTGGATGGGGTGGGGGCTCGAACTGCCAACCTTACGGTCAGAGGACAACCGCTCTACCACCTGAGCCACAGCCGCCCCAATAATAGGTTGTTATAGAGAAAGACGAGCATGATTGTGTGAATAGTTTTTTTAAAAAAATACTCCGTTACTAGTACTACAAAGTTTTCTAAATATATCAAATGACTGCAGAAGATCTAATTAGAGAAAACCTAAATGCTGTCTGTGAAGATTGCATTTCAATTTAAACCGCTGTATATCAGACTTTGGACAAGGGTGAATAGCACAAAGCTTTAAAAAGAGATCATTCATTCACTGATTATTCCTTTGTCTGTTGCCTAATTTTCAACAGAATTCCACTGTAATTTGTTCACTACTTTCAAACATCTGTACTAACAGAAAAACAACCACACTTGACCAAAAATGTCCTGGTAGATGAGGAGAATAAAATCTTGTTTGAAGTGGATCCATTTCGCACAGCTGTGGTTTCTTACCATTATTCATCTATTTGCTTCTTTAAAATAATCAGTCTATTGATCCAAGTGCATGTAATCAGCCCAGAGGTATTGTGCTTATGTTTGCATTTTGGCTAAACAGTCATTTGCACCTCATCCATCATCATCCATAATCATCATCCATAATCATCATCCATCATCCATCATCATCATCATCATCATCATCATCATCATCATCATCATACACAACTGCATTAAGCTGAAATCACACCTCGGCTTCACTTGTGCCACTCAGGCCACTGATCATTGATAACAAAACCAAATGTGTACATATTTAAATAGATGTGTGGCAAAGACACATTGTGTATGGGGGCTCAAAGAACCACAGAAAGCTATAAAAGCTAAACAGGCAGCGTAAATCTCTGCTCAAGGGCTGCAACTATTGAGAATTATTCATCCGTAAATAGTGAAAATGCTTGTCACAAACCCCAAAGGGATATGTTTACAGTTCATTTTGTGTGGTCAAAGGTTGAAAACCCAACAACATTAAGCTTATTATCACTTTACACAAGGGAAAACGGCAAATGCTTGAACGTGCAAATGTGCCAGGTATGATCGATTGAGTCATTTTTCAGGCAAAAAAGCCCAAAACATTATTTTACTTGTACATGACTATCATGGGCTGCAAGGTGGCGCAGTTGGTAGCACTGTTGCCTCGCAGCAAGAAGGTTGGTGGTTCACGTTCCGGTAGGGGCACCGGGAGTTTGCATGTTCTCCCCGTGCAGTGTGGGTTCTCTCTCAGTCTAAAAACATGTTGAGGTTAATTGGTGATTCTAAATGTGATTCATAGGTGTGAATGTGAGTGTGCTTGGTTGTTTGTCTCTTAGTGTAGCCCTGTGATAGACTGCCTTCGCCCTAAGTCGGCTGGGATAGGCTCCAGCCCCCCTGCGACCCTAGTGAGGATTAAGCGGTGTATAGATAATGGATGGATGGATGACTACCATGAATGTTGCTGATCAATCTTTGGTTGATTGATCTTTAATTATTGTTATTATGCACATATAACACTTCTGCTAAAAGTGACATGTTTTTGCAGAAGTTCTTGAAATAAATGCAAATGTTTACAAAAGCGAAAACGCACTCAGACCCCAAAAGTTCTGGCAGTTAAGATGCATTTGTGCGTGTTTGCTGTGTGTGTGGCAGCACTGAAGAAAGTGGTAATCAATTTTCACTGGAGACAAGAGAACTGGGATGCATACTTCTCCAGCAGCAATTCTCCAGTGTTGAGTCTGATGCACCGCAGGCACACAGAGTGAATGGATTTCCAATTGATGAAACTAATGCCTCCTCATGAGTCACAGCATGAGACACACTGGACAAGTGGCTGATGCTTCATATTGTTTGAATGGTTTTACACATATCTGACACTCTGACATGTACTTTGTAGACACTTAAAATACTGAATTTTGAGTCCTGATGATTTTTGAGGTTTTACTTAATTTTTCGCTTTCCAGAAAGTACACACACACTTCTTGTGATGTTTGAGAGGTACTTGACAGTTGACTCACCCGTTCCAGCTTGTCTTTGCGCTGTAGGAAGATGGATGCGGAGTAGCCCGGCAGCTGGACAGCGCTGTAGCCACTGCTTTTCGGTTGGGGTGCACAAGGCTGCGGCGCTGGGGAAGCCTCATCCTGCCTTCTCCACCTTGAATCATCTGACAGCTCCACTGATGACATGTGGGCTGCTGCTGTGTGCTGGGCTGCAGAATCAAACACACACACAGACGTTGTCACTCTTCAACTTTTTTCAATCCATCTCTCACAAGCTGAATCAGTCATTGCTGGTCTCGGTATGCATCCTGACTGTTAGCGGCCAAAGCACCAGTGCCTCCTCACTTCTCAACAAAAACTCACTGGCGAATGTATGCGTGTGTGTGAGCACAGTCTTCCAGGGCCAGATGGGGAGGGGCAGGCGATCTGTCGGCTTCTGGTCGAGGTGAAGGTGCAACAGGAGCCCCTGCATGGATGTACTGGACAAGACGGAGAGCGGCGCACACTGAAGGGGAGTAATCTGATTGAGAACAGTGCGAGGAGACTATCAGACGTGAAGACATGTACACACTCTAACACACACAATTGTAGGAAATCTAATTTCTCCCATTTGCGCCTCAAGCACAGAATACTGATACTGGCAGAGACAGAATGTCCTGGAGTACTGCAGCCTCACCTTAAGGAACCTTTTGTGCAGGTCGTGAAAGGCACCATATGCCAGCTCTGAAACACACACAAACAAGATGAGTGCATATCTTTATACCCCACAGAGTGCACATTGAGGATATAAAAAAGAAGCTGGGGTAAGAAAAATTGACTTTGCACAGATCTGCTTTAAAGGACAACCTGTCTTGGGATTATAGTGTCAATAGCTTCAACCAAAGTAGTTTTTCAATTATTTAATTCAGTCCTCACAGGGTAATTGAAAGCTGTGACAGTTGCTGGCATTTTTAAGTAAAAATAGTTTGGGAAAGGACCAAGAGTTCCGCTTTTTGCAGAGGTATTGAATTCTACCAGCGACCTCATGGTGATGACATTACTGCTCTTAACCCCTATTAAAAATGTTGTTTTTTCACTTTAGTGTTTGCTCAAATTGAACATAAAAGACACGATATGTTAATCAGTGAGCATTACATTTGCTGTTAAGTGGATTTTGTTTCCTTTGGACGGAGACAAACAAGATGTTTCCACTTTTTTAGTCTTAACTTTTGAGGTCATTTAGTCCTAACGTCCTGTTTCTAGGCTACCATACAGACCTAGAATTGATCTAAAGCTTCTTGTTTGTGGCCAAAAAAGTAAACAAGTAGATTAAACAACATGCTAGCTTATATAATTTTATGCAAAAATGGCCCGCCAGACATTACTTTTGAGAGACTGTACCTACCCAACAACTCTCCTTGAGTGCTATTGCTGCTTTCTGCAATGCCCCAAAGTGGATGTGAGCACACAAATTGCTGACACATCATTTTCTTTTCCAGTTGTTCTCCTCTCCAGTGCCCATAAGAAATGATGGTCCATCAATGAGGAGGTGCAGAATATGTAAATACCCTCAGTATCCAGCACACACAGCGAAGCGTCGTTCATCTTATTCACTCCGAGGCCACAGGGGTGCTAAATCATCAATGACAGCTCAAATTACATTGAGTAGTGCATCGGACGCATGCTGTGCATCACCTGACAAATCTTTATATTCATTTTAATATTTAATATGTCTACATAAGCCAAAAAACATTTTTATATTTAGGAGGGCCGCACGGACACCTTAGAGCCAAAAAAAGCTGCAGTGACATGAATATTTTATTTATATGCAATAAATGCATCAGTGAGTGTGTGGTAACAAAGTCCACAGGGAGCCTGAACTTAATAAAACTAAGTAGGAACAATTCAGCCAAACTGTTCCCACTTAGGCGAACACCTGCAGAAGCGCTGATGTGCACCAGCAGCCACGGTGAAAGTTGTTCGCAAGGGAGAAAACCCCTGACACAGCTTTAAAGGATTAAGGAAGTGGAGCAGAATATCTGGAGACATACAATTAGCAGTGCAGCAACTCTGGCAGTGTGGCCTCTAAAACCTAATTTGTCGTGTGTACTTGCCTCTGCAAAGAGTGAGAGAGGAAGAAGCCAGACGGGGAGAGAGGGAGGATAGAGCCACTGGTGGAAGGACAGCAGTCCAGAGGAGGATCTGGGCTGATGAAGGGGAAGAAGTGGAAAGTTGAACAGAGTAATTAGCTTTTCACTGAAGATAGACAAACAAGTTTTAACCTCCTTTCTCACCTAACAATATTCAACAATTATTTTAAAAAGTATTTACTTCCCTCTAACATTGTCCCCTTTTATTTGCTTTTTTAACACTGAATCAAAGCCAATTTAATTTGGCTTTTAGGACAAAAAAAATCAACAAAAAACACCCTTTCATGTCAAATGACTACAGATTTGTACAAATGAATGTCATTTCATTAAAAAAAAGCTCACCATAAGTGATTATAAGTAGTCCTCCACTTTAAAGTGACTCAATTAACTCAACATATTTGCAGCGAACTGGTGCTTGAAGTCACATAATTAGTGACATATAGATCATTAGAGGCCAGTAAATTTGTAAAGTGATTGTAATGTAAAGATAACTGTATCTGGAAGGTCCAGTCAATGGTGAATCAGTACTCCTGACATCATAAAGACTAAAGAACACTTGAGGCAACTCTCTGAAAACTTTATTGAAAAGCATCCGTCAACAAATGGGAATAAGAAATTTTCAGTCAGTGAATATCCCTTGGAGTACAATCCATCATTAAGAAATGGAAGCAATATGGCACATGTGTCAATCTGCCTCAAAAGAGAGTGACTGAGTGACTGTGCCATAAAGAGGAAGACCACCAAGACACCTATGAGTCCTCAGAAAGAGTTACAAGCTTCAGTGGCTGAGATGTGAGAGATTTATACAACTGTACAACTGTTGCCTATTCTTCAGCTGTCAAAGCTCTCTGGTAGCGTAGGAGAGACGCACAAGACATATTACGTTGTCAACCTGACCGACCAATCATAGTGAATTAGTGACGCAGTTTCTTACCTGCGTCCTTGTTTGTGTGTGTAGTGGTAGCCGCATGGAGAGCCATGGCTGAATCCAAACGGAGAACTTGGTTGGTAAAACCCACAGAGAGTGGAGTACGACATGATGCCGCAGACAACAAGGGAAAGAGGAGAACAGGTTGTTGGCATGCTGGATGCTGTCCTACCTTGGGGTTGTAGTCGAGTACTTCAATGTCCACAACTCCATCATTTGTCATCTTTAAAGAAGTTTCATACAGCATGATCTCTGGATGTACGTGTCCAACAATGACATCCTGTCACCCAAAATGTCCAACAACTTCTCCAAGCCCTTCAGGAAGAGTGAGATAACATTCTACCACCCAAAACTAACAATCTCATAAACTCACAGATGTGTGATTTGTCATCAGAGTCAATAAACTCAATAAAATCAGGGTTGTTCTGAAAGGTGGTGGCTCAGGCCTTTACCTTATCCTGAGATGCTTTGCTGTTTGGTCTGTTGCTGTGGTTGGATTGTGGATGCATGTGTTCCTTCCAGGTGAGCAGGAATCTGTGGTCAGACAGGAAGCAGCTCAGGTGCGGTGACGTCATGGCTCACGACCCTGGAGGTACATGGTGCAGGTGAGGCTGCAGGGAGGGCTCGAGCCTATCCCTGCTGACTTAGGGCAACGGTAGGGAACATTCTGGACAGGTCGCAGTCTATCGCAGGGCCACACTTAGAGACAGGCAACCAAGCACAGTCACATTTACACCTACGGACAATTTAGAATGGAGGGGGTCTATCCATAAGATAAAGAATGCAAGTTATTTCAAGATTTTAGTCACAATATAGCAGCTGCAGCCACATTGGCAGGTAAAAACTGCATTAGTTAAGTTGAGTGGTCCTTTAATCAATTTTAACTGGTAAAAAAACTGGACTGATCAGAGTCTTTGGCACAGTGCAGGTAAAATAATGCAGAAACACAAGGCTAAGTGATGTTTATACTCTATGTGTTTAGTTTGTCTAATATCCATTTTTAGACAGTTAACATATTTTTTGTGGATAATTCCTACCCATAAAATTAAGAAAGCAAGTTAATTTAATATGTTAGTCACAATGTAGGAGCTGCAACCACTTTATGGCTGGTAAAAACTGCATTGGATGAGTTAAATGCTCCTTGAAGCTATTTCAACCTGTAAAAATGAATGGATTGGTTAGAGTCTAAGGCACATAGCAGGTAAACTAATGCAGAAACATAAGGATACTTGCCTCCATATTTTTTGGCAGAGGATCGCTTTTTCGCAGGCGGCTTTGAAGAGAAGCTTGGCTGTCGTCTGACTGCTGGGGAAATATTATGACTGGAGGAGAGTTGCTGAATAGACCATTGCCTGAGTCGGATGGATTGATCACTTGTTGGGGCTCCATGGTGAGTAGGCTCTTATTTTCTGAAGTAATGTTTTTTCTGTTTTAATTAACATAATTAATGGGTATAAGTAGGTCTGCCTGGTAATTAATGGTGTAGTTGAGACCTGGCTCTACTCCCAAGTTATAACCAGGCGTACTGATTCATCACTAGACCTTCCAGATACAGGTGTCTTTACACTAGAATCACCGAGACTCATTCACTGCACTCAGATGATCTTCATTTCACAAACTGTGTAATGTGTTTTCAA